TATACTTTACCCATAAACTGTCTTTTGATTCTGAATCCTTCCTGCATAATAATTTAAACATACTTTTTTTTTCCATAGTAACTGTGAGTAAAGGATCATAATGTGAACTGTGGAATTTCATTTATCCAGATAGTAGTGCCAGTTAGTTATTTTCTTTCATATTTTAAAAATACTTTCAGTTAAGTCTCTGCTTGATAAGCTTCTGAAATACTTGTTTTCTAGAGAAAAGGTGAAACTTAGCGATAGAAAGAATAAGAAGATGAATCCACTAGTTAATGAATGCCATCTGGTTATAAATATCTATTGTTTGATTGTAATAATGGTCATCCCTTGTTAAAAATGTGGGCCTGAGTTATCATCTTGAGGTGGACCTCAAATAACACTAACAATGTGGATATTTTTAGTAGTGGTCAGTGTAAATGTGATTCTAATAACCAATGAAAACAAAACATCTGGAATGCTACAGTTGATTCTTGTTGCTGAAGTTAGAGATAGTTAGCTGGAATGTTATTAAAAAGCTTATTGTGAAAATCTTCATGAGAACAAAGAACTGGCTTTGCAGGGAGAAAGGAAAATACGCTGGCTTTTTTAGTTTAGCACAGCTGAAGTTGCGGTTGTGTGTAACTGTTTGAGGACTCATTGACACAGGCAAATGCTTGATTGAGAGGAATGTTGCTTATGTTCCAGAGCAAGTACAAAGCAAATTTTGTAGGCAGAGCAAACGGACCATATCTAGACCACACTGGATCAGATAATATAGCTGAAAACAATAGACAGGCTTTTAGTAAGCATAAGCTCTCTACTACAAATCTTGTCTTCCCTTGTAACACTACAGCTACAGCAGTGCTGCAAGCCAATGTGGAACAATTGAGCATAGATTGGGAGTAAATACATGTAAATGTTTTTTTTAATAGGAAGAGAAAAGTACTAGAACAATATTCAGAGGCATTTTGGTCTTTGTAATATCAGTTTTGTTTACAATATGGAAGTTTACAAATAGTGCACAGTATTGCTGCTACAACGCTGCATGACACTTGTAATTCACGAGAGTGGTGGCTAGTGGTTCTCAGCCATCATCAGGCAGGCAAGATGAGTAGTGGCACAAGCTCAAGTTTAAAAACATAAAAAAACTTGACCTAGTATTTTATAAATACTGTATCAATAAATGCTGTTAAAACTTTAAACAGATTGACATTTTAATACTGGCAAAGATTAATGCTTAGTCTCTTACCCAGACAGAACTCAAAAGCATTGCAGCTATTGTAATTTTTCAGATGTGAAACAAAATACTGATTTGTTAAGGAAGTAGAAGATTTCTGGTACCATATGCTGACACTGGAAAAATTTGGCTTATCAGTATTATTAATTTAAACCTGGGCAATCATGAATACTGTTTTGTTTGTTGTTTGTTTTCAGACCCCTCATCCCCCCTGGGTTAAATCTTGCCTGAACAGACGTCTTCAACATGAGTTCTAACTTTAGCATGATCTTACATTTGTAGGTGGTGAAATTGCATCAACCTTTGATCACCCTGAGCTAGTAAAACTAGGAAGCTGCAAGCTTATTGAGGAAGTCATGATTGGAGAAGATAAGCTCATTCATTTCTCTGGAGTGGCAATGGGTAAGTGTTTTACCACTGATGTGATAGCATAGTGTACATAATTTCATTCTATCTGTGAAATGTCATCATGCTTCCTTTTTCCCCCGAAACTGATCTGGGTGGAACTTGACTGCAGTGATAGCAAAACTGTTAAAAATGCTTTGCAGTAGCTTCTTTTTTTGTGTGTTGGTTTTGTTTTGTTTTTTTTTTAATCTTTTTACATTTGTGCTTTTTAGGTGAAGCTTGCACCATAGTTTTGCGTGGAGCAACACAGCAGATTCTAGATGAAGCCGAGAGGTCTTTGCATGATGCTCTCTGTGTTCTTGCCCAGACCGTGAAAGACACTAGAACTGTGTATGGTGGAGGTGAATGTTAGATTCTTCATCTATGATATTAATTTTGTAATAACTGTTCAAGTCAGACATCAACATCTGTGTCTTTAATGACTAGGTTGTTCAGAGATGCTGATGGCTAATGCTGTTGCAGAACTTGCCATCAGAACACCTGGCAAAGAGTCTGTTGCAATGGAGTCCTTTGCTAAAGCCTTAAGGATGGTAAGTTTGTTCAGTCAGATTGCTTGGATTAATAGACATAAAATTTCACCAAATTTGCTAACTTCTGGCATCAGATAGTTGTTTCTCTTTCAAAGTTTTGGTTGTCTAAAAGTAAAACAGTGAAATTTAGCAACACAACTTGGATGAACAAATGGGAAAACTTGCTGTTTTCTCTCTTAGGAAATAAGTATTGGTGTGTTAATAATGCAGCATGTTACAGAATTCTGAATGTTTAATGCTAGCCCTCTTTTAAGTGGTTCTTCCTCCTCTTAACCTGCAAGGTTAAAAGTGCAGCAGAAATGTCAGCTGAATAAGCTGAGATTTTTTTGTGCTGATTTATGAAAGAGCATTCTATTGATACTATTGATTGTATTCATGCTCTAGTACTGTCTAGAAGTTTCTAACTTGCATTGGAGTCTACTCTTACTTCCTAGAAGATGCATTGCAAGTAACGTTTATAGAATATTATTGTGCTAACAGGCTATCCATTTGAGGGGAGGAAAAATGCCTTCCTGTTATTTAATCTAGGGAAAACCAAAGACCATAGGAAAACATTTCTGCAAGAAAATAAAAAAGCATCGTAAGACTTGGTGTTACTTCTTGAGCCAGCGCCTGCAATTCGCACTCCTTTCACTTCCACAGTGAACAGAATGATCAGGTGGTTAATGCTTACCAGCAGGCTCATATTCTTAAAATGAAACTTTATTTCATGTTTCTCCAGTTGTAGTCTGAAATAGATAGATTTCATTCTGCCCATGTAAAAAGAACTGAAAAAACTGCTAACATGATCCTGCCCTCTCAGATACTCTCTTATAACAAGGTTTTAAGCAAAATCCTTAGAGAAGTATTTTGATTTTTTTTTTTTTTTTGTTTTCTCTATCTTCTGATCACTGTAACACATCTGCCATACTTTTGAAACTTCCTGTTGTTGAAACTGAACAGTAAATAGTAATATCAAAGTATGTTTCCTGTTTACTAGGGATCAGGCCCTGCATGAATTAAAACCAGCCTGTGTTTCTCCCCATAGATCCCAACAATAATAGCTGACAATGCTGGCTATGACAGTGCAGATTTGGTTGCTCAGCTCAGAGCTGCTCACAGTGAAGGGAAGACTACTTACGGACTTGGTAAGGGGCTTCATGTTACTTCTATTACTGGACTCCTGTTTGGTAGGGCAGTGAGGCTTATTAAACTCGCTCACTTGTCTTTGATACATTCAGTTGGAAGTATGCTGATTTTTGTTTGCTTTGCACAGAGCATGGGCTGCACTTAGTCGTTTATCATTCTACCAAACTTTCCACAATAGAGTGAAATGCTTTGTTTTTCAAGGGGATGGGTTCCACCTGCAGAGACGACTTTGCTCACTCACATTGAGTCTAGTTACATGAAGCTTAAAAAGAAAGGTATTGATTTAAAACCATTTTTTTTATATATATAATTGCAGCATGTTAGGCTTAAATTGGGACCCTTGAAGTAAAAGACTTTAATACTTTCCTTACTATTAATGTCATTCATTTGAGCCAGGTGAGTTACCATACTGCCAGCTTCCTTGTAATTTCCTTAAAAAAAAAAAACACAAGTTCAAACAAACAAGCTCTTAATTTGTCTCTCCTTCCAGATATGAGAGAGGGTACCATTGGAGACATGGCAGCCTTGGGAGTAACAGAAAGTTTCCAAGTTAAGAGACAAGTTTTGCTGAGCGCAGCGGAAGCAGCAGAAATGATTCTTCGTGTAGATGACATTATTAAAGCAGCACCAAGGTATGAGCTGAGTGTCTGCATGGTCAGTTGTGGTATAGAGCAACCTTCTGTGGAAGAGTAAACTGCAGTTCTAGAAATACTTCCATTTGTAGTGAAGAATGACATCTGACATGCTAACGTCCATGTTACATGAGGGGGATTTTTTTGTGTTAGCAGTATAAACAGGCCTTTTGAGCGATCAGTGCACTTTAACTAGGCACTGCTCAGGCATGCTAATTTATCTTGGGTCACCAGCTACTCATATGCCATAGATAGCAGTAAAACATTTGCAGAAGTGGCTGACTAAAATGTGAGGGATCATGCTGCTTTGCTTTTTTCTTTTGGCAAGAATTGCGGTGAAATGCCTAGCTGCTTCTAAAGTGGAATCTGTGGCTAAAACAAAACCACATTTGTTAAAAAGTTCAGGAAGAAATGCCTCTTCTAGGCAGATTATCCTGAGCATGCCTGCTTCCAGGTGGTCTGCACTGCTTTGTGAATTGCAGGGTTTTTTACTGTGGTCAGAGGTGGTGTATTAGCTTTGAGATGATGCTGCCTTTTGTGCTGTGAGATAAGCACTAAACACAAAACACCAACTTAAAAATAAGGGTAGGTTGGGAGACTGGTGGACATCGTTGTGTGTGAGGAATTTTCTGATTTTTTTTTTTTTTTCTCCCCAGAAAACGCGTACCGGACAATCGCCCATGTTAAATTTTCTTCAGTACCGGATGAGCACAGTGAGGATGTGTGGACCAGATCTCACCTAGTAGCTTTTTTTTAATGATCTGTTTCTTGTGAGGTTGTGGAACAGAAGCTTGAAAAGAGCAAATCTCCATCAATAACATGAAATAACTGACTTCAGTTGGCTTTAACTTATTTCGGTTTCTGTATGTTGTGGGGAAGAATTCACTTTCAAGTAAATCAGGGGCTTTATACAACCCTCTTTTCTTCTGTTCCTCTCCACGTTCCACTTAAAATACATGGAAATAAATAAAAATTCATATTCATCAAAGTTGTCTTTGTGTAGAAGCAAGAAGGGCAGTTCCATTCAGGCAGCTGCAGCCCACACCCTCAGTCCTCAGATGCTTCAGGCATCAGCACAAAGGGTAACCAGTCCTGTCTGTAGGGGCCTTGAGTTGGGATCCTAGAAATAGGTTCTGAAGTTAAATGCTGTGTTTTTCTGGTGATACTGGGGGATTACTCATTTTTTGCTGATAAAAGGAAGAGAAAAAGCTGAAGAGGAATTTAGTGCCCAGAACTACAACTGAAGGGATTTTACAGCTTTTTACCCTAGAAATTTTATGTAGGTGGGAGTTCTGCAGAGGGGAAGGTGCAGTCTGGAAGAGATGACCAAACATGCCGTGAAATACTGAACTCGAGCCAACTTTACAAAACCTTGCATTAGAGGGTGGTTGGTGGCGAGTGTGGCAGGCTGCATTGTGCTCCTTGCCCCCCCTTCCCTTGTCATGTCTGCTGTAGCCTGTCTTTATATTCCCTTTCCTATTCCAGTGGTTGCTGCAAAGGCAAAGTTTTTTAATTGGACTAGTTTCTTCATGCTCAACTCATAAAGAAGTCCATCATGCCTGCAGCACATTCTCAACAGCTGGAAGCAGGGAAAAGTAGAGGCTCTCACTCTCTATGTGGGAGCCCCAAGAGCTGAGCCAGCTGTGACCCTTCTGGCCCTGCAAGGATAATGCAGTACCTTGGCAGACACCAGGGCAAGGCTGCCAAAGCAGCAAGAGTACTTTCTTGATTTCAAATTATCTATGCAAACATTTTTCTCATTAGGTTTCCTGAAACAAAAGCGAGTCTGTTTACAGAACACTCCTCCAAACTTAAACTTACATCTTCAGATCTCCAAAAGCGACAATATGTGTTAGGAATGCTACATTGAAATACAACCGCTGACCAGCAAGTGAAAGCACCTTCTTGCCCACCTGCTCAGACAAGTAAAATACCAGATTAGTTCCATAGGGAGTAAGCCATTGAACTTGGATGTTAAAAAAGCCCAAAACATTTGTCCTGCTGAGTAATCCTCTGGGAAGAAACAGGTTAGATAAAGAATTTGGAAAGAGAATTTGATTAATTCCAAAGAAGGCTGTTTTAACTCACCGAGGTGTTTGTTAGTGTACTTTGTTTAATTTGACTACATGCTACATGGGTGCCAGCCAGATCTAAATTCAGACTTCATTTAACAAGACAGCAAGTGCTAGCAGAGGCTATGTGTTTCCAGATCATTTTTCAAGCATGTAAATGACATTAAGCAGTCACGAACTGGCACTGGCTCAATTCTGTTCTGGGAAGTCAACTGCCGCTGCTGCAGGCTGCGCTGGTGAGACAGTTCCACTCGAGTGAGGCAGAGAGGGAAGTGGCTGTTACGTGCCGCCACAGGCTCCCCACCATCTTTAGAAGCTGTCTTCTACCAAACTCAGTGATCTGTGCTGTGGAATCAAAAGCTAAACATGTCATTTTGAGCCAGAGTTCTGTGTTAAACAATGAAAGCAAAACATACAATGAAAAAAGAGTTCAGTGCGTTTTGAAGGGGATCTGAACTTGTCTGAGTTACAGCTGCAGAAATACCCAGCTGAAATCAACGGAGTGAAGTTTGCCCCAGCTTCAAGTTAGGTGCAAGTGTGTAACAGCAGGCTCCCAGCCCAGGGCTTTATTCATGCAAGTTTACCTTTACAGCTCTTGTGGTGTTTCTGTTTTAGTCAGGCTTTGATTTTCTTCTTTGCTACTGCATGAGAACTTGGTGTGTAAAGCTACCCTTAATGGCAATGTTGTTGGTAACAGAAACTAGCAGCAAAGCCTGTTGCTTTCCTCACCATCATTTAGAATGCTGCTTGGCAATAACAAAACAAGGGTGGTTGCAAATTTTCCAGGAAGAAGGCTGCACTGGTAAGAGGAGAGCTTGCTGGTACATACGCACTGTTTCCTTGATAGCACAGCCAGGGCTCTGCTACAGCTTCCCACACGGCAGGGAGGGAAACCTTCAAGCTGTTCCTGTGTTTCAGATAAGGCATTTGAGACAAATGCTGTGCTTACTTTACTGCAGTGACTCAGAAGCAATCACCTTGAACAGTGGCATCCAGCTGAGCTCAGACACCTCAGCAAGGTGGAGGGGAGAAGGGTGAGCCCATGGATGAAGAGTAGCAAGTCCATTCGTGCTCTGCACAGTCCACCCATGGAAGACATCTGAACTGTCTCATCTTTGCTGCCACCTCTGAGTGGTCCCCACATGGGTGGAGGGGGAAGATGATGAAGCCTTTGCTCTAGAGAGTGCTGGGTGCTGTGCAAAACAGGTGACTGTACAAGAGGGTTTTGCTCTCATCTAGCTTCAAGCTGGTGCACCTACTCCCGAAGACTAGCAAGGCAGTGTGGGGCTCCCTGGATGCCAGCAAGCAAGGGAGAAAGAAGTAGAGGCTGGGTGGTGGTGTGAGTGCACTGCCACCTTTGCCAGAGTGAAGCATCAACAGGGCTCGACTTCCAGCTCAGGCTTGATGGCAGGAGGTGGCGATGGTCTCTCATCGAGTGGAATTTCTACCACTGCCCCGGACCGCTTTCGGGGTTCAGGAGTCTCCTCTGACCACCTCCCCACCCTGCGAACTCCTTTGGCCACTTTGGGTGCGTTCCTGCAGGGGTTATGGTCATAGATCACCAACTTCAGACCGGGGAGGTGAGCCAGGCTGGGGAAGAACCGGATAGAGTTGCGATCCACGTCGATCACCTCCAGGAAAGGCATGTCCAGGAGCACAGCGGGGAACTCAGACAGCAGATTGCCCGACAGCCAGATGGTGCGCAGCTCCTGCAGGTACTGCAGCTGCGTGGGGAGCGTGCGCAGCGCATTAGAGCCAGCATGCAGGGTCTTGAGCAGAGTCAACTCGCACACCACCTCGGGCAGGTACTGCAGGCAGTTGGACTCGATCCAGAGGGTCTTGAGATTCTGCAGTAGACGGAGCTCAAGGGGCAGGCTGCAGAGCTTGTTGTTGCCCAGGTAGAGGATGCACAGCTGCTTCAGCGTGCACACGACCAGGGGCAGCGCTTTGAAGTTGTTGAAGTCCAGGGCCAGGATCTGCAGGTTTTGCAGCTGCTCCAGTTCCTGAGGCAGATGGTTCAGGTTGTTGTCACTCAGGTACAGCTTAACCAGTTCCCTAAAAGAGCAAATGTGCAGAGGCAGCCGCCTCAGCTGGCTGCCGCTCAGATCCACCATTTTATCCACTGGCATCTCTTCTAGGTCTTCCACGAGGTACTTCTGGCACTCGTTGGAGGGCACAAAAGCAACTACGGCTTTCAGACTGTTGCCCATCCTGTGACTTTTCTTTGGGGATGGCTGGGAGTGTATGTACGGGACAGGAGCCCGCCTGTGAACTGGCCTGCCAGTAACTCTGTCTTCCCAATATAAGGCTCTGTTTACGTGGCACCAGCCGTTAATCTCAAGGGCTCTGAAACATTTCTGATAACCAAATGAGTGTTTGGTGATGGGGATTACAGACAGGACGATGCAGAGTGCGGGTCTCCCTCTCTCACCCACACTCCTGCTCGCCCCTCCCCAACAACATTCCTTCTTGCCTCTTCCTGCAATGCACACTGTAAATGCTCACTGATTTTGCCCCAGCCCATCTCCCCAGTGCCCCAGCCCCTAACTTCTTGCTCTGGCTGTGCTGTCTGTGCAGCCAGTGCTCTCTGCAGGGATTAGCTTGGGAGAGTAAACAGCGCAGAAGACCAGATTTCTAAACTCAGATGTTTAGCTTTCATGAGACCTTCAGCGGAAACATCGGACGTAATCGAATTGGTGTTTAAAATACCTGTCAGGGCTCGACTGACTTTCCAGACGGGTGGCACTTCTAGGGATTTACTTTGCAAGGTGCCAAATGCATAATTTCAGAGTGTAACTTGCCACCCAGTGCTTATCTTAAAGCTTTAACACAAATACTTGGCAAACTGCTATCTTGAGCTGTTCTACTATTTATGTTCCTAATTTAATGGTGTTTACTATAGCTCCTGGCACTCTTGACTTTGGAGGGCCTTTCTCATTACATTATGTTTTACATCTTATCTGAACCCCTGTTTAATATGCTCACTATCACAACCTGCCAACGCTGTCCTCCGGCCACCTTCCAACTGTGCTACTGCAGTCCCTGTGTTCCTACCAAAACCTGAAAAGAAACTCCCATGAATTTAATTCCATCCAGATTCTCACTTGGTATGAGTGAGATACATACAATGTTAAGAATTATGACTATTTAGATGTGACAGTGTAAACTGTTCCCCTCCTTCTCTCAGCAAGACTCATTGCTGTTCAGGTCAGGAGCACCTCTGATTTCTAGGAGGAAATCTTGAATTCCCATGTGCAGGCACCTCTGTATACTTTGACTTTTTGAACTGCTTCTGTTTTAAGTTTTCCTGGGGATTATCCTACCTGTGTGTTGGACATAGCTTTACTATGACCTTTGGGTATGAAAACTGACAGAATGTTTTCATAGAATCATAGACTGGTTTGGGTTGGAAGGGACCTTAAAGATCATCCAGTTCCAATCCCCCTGCCATGGGCAGGGGCACCTTCCTCTAGACCAGGTTGCTCAGAACCACAGCTTCTGTGGGCAACCTCTTCCACCATCTCACCACCCTCACAGTAAAGAATTTCTTCCTCATGTCTAATCTAAAACCACGCTCTTTCAGTTTAAAGCCATTCCTCCTTGTCCTATCACTACATGCCCTTGTAAAAAGTTCCTCTCCAGATTTGTTGTAGGACCCCCTCAGGTACTGGAAGGCTGCTCTAAGGTCTCCACCAAGTGAGCCTTCTCCTGTTTTAAAGTGAAATGGCCTTTCCAGCAGCTGGCTCTCTACTTTGATATACCTACAGCTTGTTGCTGTCATTTTCCACGCTTACCGTAATTTAGGGAAGATACTTTCTTCCAAGAACCTGCAGTAGGTTTCTGGGTGTTACATTCTACACAACCAAAATACATGATTGCTGAGAGTCACATATTCTTGGAAAAACAAAAGGCAGAGTAAACAAAAGATTGAGAAAAAGGCAATATCACACAGTTGAGGTGGCCTCTGATCTCTGGTCACATCTGGGAATAGAGAGCTCTCTACTGGCACTTGTTTTCCAGAGTAAAGCAGCTCTTAGCTATCAATCAAATGTATGCTGTAGGATGTTTACTAGTCTTTTCTGTGCAAGATGTGTCTGTGCCATGCAGCAATGATGCTATGAAATGTAAGGAGGGTTTCCTGGGGGAGGACAACAGAGAGAACATCTGGGAACTAGTGTTGCTGCAAGACAGAGAACAGTGAGTGCTGTAACGTGAACGCCATGAAGTAGGTTTTGGATGGAGAAGCTGGGCAGAGTATCAAGCCTGGAGAACAAAGATATGCCGCAGTCATCTGTGGCTGTGCTGTGGAAGAGAGGCGCTGAAAATACTTGCTGTCATGACAGAAGGCGGGACATGCTAGGCATAGCGTCCCAACAGCACCAGCTGCTTCTCACTGAATGAGCACCTCAGAGAAGCCACCTTACTGCTTGAGCACTACACACCCTGGCAGAGGACTGCTGTGGGGGTCCTGTCATTCATTCCCAGAGTTCACAGGGCATCCTTTCCCAAGCAGGTACCCTGGAATGTCATCTGACTGATAAGAAAATAGACCCATGGCCCTCATGGTTTTTGTATATGTTTCCATTTCCGAGGAGCTGTGGCACCTTCTAAATGCAAAGCTCCCTGCCCTGTAAGGTACTGTAGGCTAGAGGGGTTGAAAATCAAATGCATTTGGCATAAATAATAATGAATTAACATTCATAGCAAAGACATGTCCCTTAGACAAATCTCATCAGATATCCTGCCGATCAGGACAACAAAAAAGCCTAGGTAAAAGTATATCAGCTTCTTTGTTTAGTCATATTTTCCTTAATAATCCATATGGAGAGAAACAACTTTGCAGTACACCTTATGTTTATAGGCACACGTACTTACATTTTTTTTTCTACTTGAATTATTTCTACTGGAACTTTTAAGCTGCAAACAACTTGGGGATCCTTTGCATTGTAGTTTAATCATTATTCCAGCTTATCAAAATAAGTCACGATGACCTTCTGTTGCCGCATTTTGTACCTCTGTTGGCGAAATGAATGTCTGCTTGGAACACACGGTGAGATCAGAGTATTTGGGGAAACTATAACCTTTGTGTGGTGAGACAACAAAGGGCTACATTTGCAATAAATGAATAATCTTGAGCTTTCTGAGAACCAGCGACTCAATGGAGGCTCTAAGGCAAAGGCAGTCCCCTCACCAGACCCAGGGCGGTGTTTTGAAAGCCATTTCGTGTCTTCAGTTATCCTGATGCCCTCCAATATGAACATTAATGACTTCCCAGAAGCATTTGTGGCATTTGAGGAAAAGTTCAAGTGATAAAGGTACTCAGCACAGACGTTGTCTTGCTCTTGTCAAAGTGACACTGCTCTACCAGGGGGCATGACATCTGCTCTGCTGCGCATCAGGTGGCGCATGTAGGCTCCTTGAGAAATGCCTTTGCTCCCTGGAAGTTCACAGATGACCGCAGCTATTGCTCACTGTCCTCACTGCCAGCACCCAACTCCTGCAGCTCGGTGGCTGGGACAGCTGTGGGGCAGAAAATATAATTGCTTGCTGAGAACTTGTGTAAAACCTCTGAGTTTGCAAGAAACAGGGAATGCTGCTCAGGGCTAAGGAATTAAAGACCAATCGCAGTAAAATGGAAACCAATGTAAAAGCTGTGATTTTTAGATTTTAGTATTTTTTATGTAAATTAAGACTAGAGCTGCTGGTGCTTTTTCAGATCCAAAGCTCTGCACACAGCTCTGGACAACAGCCTTTGCTGAGTTTCTGTAGCCCTCATGCTTTTGCAGGTAAGTTTGAAAAAGTAGAATGTGTGTCTCAAAATCCAGGGGACTAAAGACTAGAGCTCTGAATTAGTTTATTTTAAGGCAAAACACTGTGTGTTTGGTTTTTTTTCCTGTTTTTTCTTGACTGGAGCATTGCTGCTAGAGCAGATGATGACTCCTGCCTCCTCCATGTTCTTGACATTCACTCTTCGCTGTGCGAAACATCTGCTGTCTTTTTTGGGAAGGTACTGAATTCCAGTTCACCCTCATGTGGTGAGCAGTTCATCTGAAATAAGTGATGTATTCCAGGGAAAAAGTTGTCATTGCTCTTTTCCCGGCATCCTAGCATAGGCCTTTGAACAAAACAGGCTGATTATTCACATTTAGCTTTGTTGCATGCCAGGCTGCAGCATGTGATTGCTCACTGCGCTTCCTCATGCAGAGGAAAGATACAGAATGTCTCACAAGTAACTCACAGTCTCAACGCTGAGCTTCCTCGCAGGCAGTTAATGGGTTTGGGGTTGCTCTCTGTCAGATCAGCCTCTTCGACACCGTGACTTTTCCGCCAGTTGGAGTTGGATCCAAGTGTCAGGCAGGGGTGGGAACCGCTAACCTCAGGAAACTCGCAGGAAAATAAACCCGAGCAAGCGCTTCCAAGTGTCTTGCTGAAACCCGCACAAAGCCACTGGCTGTTTATTACTGTGTGTTGCAGCCTGTCATGGTTTTTACTTTCGATCCCCATTTTTTCATGTGGCAGTCATATTTATGTTTAGCCTGGAGCTCTCCCATAAATAGGGAATTAAGCTTCAGTTGTTAAGGGATGACTTGTCATAACCCTATCACATGCCCTGCTGAAATACCTCCATGTAAAAGGGAAATGGTTACATGTTATGTCCTCTTTCTCTGCATTGGACACATCTGGGCTGCTTGTCACTAAAATAACCTTGAAAAGAAGCTTACTTGGAGGGAACCAGGCAAGTTCCTGGACCACCTCCTCTTTCCCATCCTAACAGTAGCCAAGCTCATACCATGTATTTATGTAAATGACACTAAGGATTGTTAATAAAATGTTTATTTGGTCTACAAATAAAATGTCTATTTGGTCTACACTGTGCCCTGGTCATCTGTCTTAGTAGCTCCCCTGGACACTGCTATTTGCACAATCCAGCGGTTACTCTGAGAGCAAATGAATCACTTTTCTGCCAAAGCACTGACCTCCTGTGATTGATTGACCTGGCGAACAGCCCTCTGCTGACAACGGGCTATAAAAAAGGGACTTCTGAGTAAATGAGTGTTGTTAGACTCTGACCTGCTTGGAGCCATGCGGGTGATGCTGTTGGCTGTGCTTTATGTCCCGTTAACCCTGGCCCTGGAACGGTAAGAAAATGCATCTAGCATCACTGGCACGTTTGAGATGCTTTCCAGGGTTGCTACTTGAGGTCTCAAAAAATAAGCAAATTTAACAATAAAAGAGTGTATGAGAGCTCTAGAAAGGAGAGCCAGTGAATTTTTGTGCATTTATGTTGTTTCTGTAGAATCCCCCTCATTCGATTCAAATCTATCAAGAAACAGCTGAAAGAAAAGGGAGAATTAGAGGAGTTTTGGAGGAATCACCACCCTGACATTTTTGCCCGGAGGTACCTGCATTGCTTCCCTGCAGATATTGCTTTATCAGTTGGAACTGCTTCAGAAAGGCTGTATGATTACATGAATGTAAGTACAGTTTTGGTAATACTATCGTAAGGATTTGTTGTTCTCTCGAAGATGCTTTATTTTTTTCCAGCACATTTCAAATCTAGTCTCTCAATGAATATATAGGGCTTGAGGTGGCTTGCTGCTCTACACTATTAGATCATAATATCACTAGGTATTCGATCATACAAAATAGTCTGCTAGTCTGCAAAATATCACATGTCTAGATCCAGGTTAGCATGGGACCTGTGTAGAAAGCTGATGTAGTCTAGCAGTGGTAGTTCTCTGACAAGTCTCATTTTTGTGTAGATCTGGATTGGACTTGATTGGGAATCCGGACTAATGTAGGTTTGCCTGTATCAATCTGTGTTCAGGACTGCTTTTTTTTTTTTTTGTGGCAGAACTTGATTGCTTCATTTAGCTGTATTCTATTTATCAGAAACTTGGATGTTTGCATGGTATAAAAAAAATCCCCCAAATCTCATTTATTTGACCATGTGGTGTCATAAATCAGTGATAGCAAAGACCCAAGTAGGGTTTTTATTTGTCTGTTTTTATCTCCTGAGCTTAATGTGTATTAAATATTGGAGACTGACCTGGCTCTCACACTAACCTGGCTGAACTGACTACCTAAATTGAAAAAGGTAAAAAAGGAGTTCCATTGGATCTCAGACAGGCAAGTCAGCAGGTCAGCCATTCTGTAGATTGTCTTTCCTGGGTTTAGCGTGTTGTCCTCTTGGATGGTCTCTGTTCTCTGTTTTATTTGATCCTTCTGTTATGCTTATGTAAAGAAAAGCTAAGTTGCAGAGACATTGTGGAGGCTGCATGTGAGCAGGGAAGGGAAGGCTGAATTAATTCAGCAAGAACTCCCTGACACTTGAGAGCTGTAATGAAATATGTCAAGGTGAGCTAGAGATGTGTGTAAGATGTATTCTTCTGTAAAAGAAGAATAAAGGAGACTGAAACATATCAGCCTGCTTTAAAGCTTATCAAAGAGGGGATAAATCTCAGAAGGACAAAACACACCCCCTTCCCCAGCATATCCAACTAACACCAGGAACACTTTAGTGGAGGTTTCAGTGCAAGGTGTTTGTGTTTTTTCTTTTTGATGTACATGTCTTAGAACTGCCTCACTTTGCAGATTAATTGATAAAGGTTTGTTTAATACAGGAAGGAATAAAATCCTACTGTATGTTCTCTTAAATGGTGCACTTGCTTGCCTTTTCATGACTATCTCATCCAGACCCTAAACTCTGGGGTCAGAAACTATATTCAGTATATTAACAAGTATGCTCTTGAAGATACACATTCAAATATTTGCATTGCTACAAAAGGCTTGGCACTGGCTATTGCTTTTCTATCTGCACTTGAATTCCAGAAATGCCTCTTCCTAAAAATAGGCCTCTTAATGCTGAAATGCTCTTCCAGGGCCAGATAGGGGCACTTAGACACTTGTATTCGGGATGTGGATAAGCTCTTCGCTTCAGCACTCACGTATTCACAGATTATCCTCAGCTGGTATGCAGGAATGGTCACTCATTTCCACTGGATGAATTTGTTCAGTTCATCAGACACAGTCAGTGCAACAGAGCAATTTTTTGACTTTCTAATAGCTGATAATTACAAAGGAAAAAGCTCAGCCACATGTGACAGTGTGCCATCGGTTGGAGCCCTCTGACGCTGACAGAGGCCGGTCATGCTGTCTCTGCACCACTGGTTTCTTACTGACATCAGTAAGGAGCTGCCTGTGTGGTTGTGCGAGAGTTTTGTCTTGGAGTTGACTGCTGAAGTTGGTGCAAGGGGGCTTGCTGACTTCATGGAGGAACCCAACTGAGTGTTTGCTTAACAGGCTTTAAAAATCCTGCACTGTTATGCATGCAGCTGGAGTGAAACCTGCTGCACACAGCCACTCCTGGAGCCACACACAGTGCCCTGTGCATGCCTTCATGTTCAAATTGCACCCAACCCCCTGAGAAAGCATTGTGTGTTGCTCCCACGTCTGCCTGTTTCTCGGGAATAGCAGTGCAGCCCAGAGCAGGTTGTGTTGTTTGCCCCCCAGGCACAGTACTATGGAGTTGTGAGTGTCGGCACACCGCCCCAGAAGTTCACCGTCGTGTTTGACACCGGCTCCTCCAACTTTTGGGTCCCTTCTGCTTATTGTATCAGCGAAGCATGCAGTAAGAAATGTTACTCTCCCTTTTGCTTTGTGTCTTGGGTTCCTTGGACACTTCTCCTTTCCCAAGGAGCTTGCCTGCAGCAGGGATTTGGGAAGAGAAGATTTGGAGCACCCCTGAGGGTCACTGTCCCCTCCCTGGCTTGCTCCTCTGTCCCTCCGCATCACCCCACAGCCAGGGCAGGCACTGGCTGCACTGCCATGGGTCCTTCTGCACCATGAGGTACCTAATGTAAAGGGCATGAAAATAAACCTGAGAGCTACCAATACTGGTGAAAATGCCCATTTTTGTTTTAATTTGTCTTTACAACCCCAAGTAACCTCCAAGGTACAGAAAAATAGGGCTGTCTGGAGGGCACATCCACCTCCATCAACACCTTCCTCTTGCATCTCATCTGGTTCTGCACTGGGGAGCAGGTGCATCACCATTACCTCCCCTCGGTGCACAAATGTCATTTGTTTTGTGTAGGGGTGCACCAGAAATTTAAGTCCTTTCTGTCAGATTCGTACGAGCACGGTGGGGAAGCCTTCTCCTTGCAGTATGGCACGGGACAGCTTCTGGGCATTGCTGGCAAAGACACGCTGCAGGTAAGTGTCCACCTCAAATGGGTGTCAGCCTCCAGGTCAGCTGTTTTAAGGCAGTTCACATTCTGGCTTTGCCCTGGAAAGCCTTACCTGGTTTAGGCAAGGGCAGGGTGGAGGCCCCAGCAAGCTGGGTGCTGAGAGGTGAAGGTGCTGTTCCAGCTTTGTGCTACCAGGACAAACCCATAAGATTCTGTTTTTCATTTCTGCTTGTCTCCTTGGGTCCTGTCTTGGATTTATAAACAAACAGCCATAGAATCCAGGCATTACAAGGAGTTGATGTAGCCTACCTGCCAAATGAGCACCTGTTCTATTGATGCAAGTCACCTAAGGATATTGTGCAGGCTTTATAAAAGGAATGAATCCATTCATATGGATCTGAAATGTGGATAATGTATTCTAATTGATGGTGTCTTTGCTTTCAACTGTTTTGGGATTGTTGTTTTTCTTTTTTTGGTACCAAACAGATCAGTAACATCTCCATCAAGGGCCAGGACTTTGGCGAGTCAGTGTTTGAGCCAGGAACAACCTTCGCCCTTGCCCATTTTGATGGTGTGCTGGGCTTGGGATACCCCTCCTTGATAGTAGGCAATGCTCTGCCTGTGTTTGACAGCATCATGAACCAGCAGCTGGTAGAGGAGCCGGTCTTCTCTTTCTATCTGAAAAGGTCAGTCTTTAAAGCGACACTGCCAAAAGAGAAATACATCTGTTTTAACTGTTGACAGCCATGCATCTTTATAAAGCTTCAACTGAAGAAAGGAATTTTCCCCATTTCTTGGGTTTTGATTGGTTTTTTTTTTGTTGTTTTGTTTATTCTGAGGCAAAAGCAGCAACTGGCTCAGCCTGCTCCTGCTGCCTATCTCAGTCCTTGGCAGCCTACAGAACATCTTCTCAGAGGTTGTTTGGAGGCTCTGAGATGGGACATATGCAGTTATAGGTTAGAAATAATCCCTTTCAGTTCCCATACCTGAATTTAGGAACGGCTGTGGTTTGTCTTTTGCTTTTTTAAGTGTCTGCTGGCACGCTCCCATGTCTGTGTTAACCTGTCTTCTGCTTTCAGAGGAGACGACACTGAGAATGGTGGTGAGTTGATTCTGGGGGGGATAGACCATTCTCTCTACAAAGGTTCAATCCACTGGGTTCCAGTCACCGAGAAAAGCTATTGGCAAATACACGTGAACAAGTATGTATGAAATATCTGGTGGAATTCACCTCCCCAGGTAAAACCTGCAGGCAGAAACACCTGGTTATACAGGAGGACTCAGCTGCAGTGTTTTACCCTTGTGCCTTTAGAAGAGGGGTTTCACCAGAATGAGGCAGGGGTATATTAGCTCTTTGAATCGGCTGAGATACGGGTGGCTGTTTTCTGGCAGAGCATGTTAAAATGTTTTAGTATGATACACCAGTGGTCAAGTTGACTCTTGGTAGACTATTCAGTTAAGAGGTCAAGGCACACAGGAACAGAATCCAGCTCTGGGTCTTGCTCTCATCTTTCCTGTTAACCTTGGTCAAAAAAGTCAGTGTCTCTTTGCTCCTCCTCCATCATGCTGTGTAAATCAAGGACAACACATACCTGTGGGTGAGAACAAATTCATCTGCAGGCAGCAAATGATTAGGGCAGTAGGAATCTTGAGAGAGTGAGTCCACAGACAGGACATCTTCCTCATGCAGTTTCCTTTTATTACCTTCTTGGCTTCTAAAGACATTCTTGTCTTTAAAGACTGGCAAAGCTTGGCAGCTAGTTTTAACCTTAGTCCGTACTCTGGCACTTTAGCTAGCAATAATGTGCTGCTTCAGTCAGAGTGTACATGCCATTTGCTTAAAGATGCTTTGTTTTTCGCTTGCAGTATAAAGATCCAGGGCCGGGTGGCATTTTGCTCCCACGGCTGTGAAGCCATCGTTGACTCAGGCACTTCTCTTATCACGGGCCCCTCTTCACAAATCAGGCGATTACAGGAGTATATTGGGGCAAGTCCATCACGTACTGGAGAGGTAAAAACTATAGAGCCAGAAACCAGTCAGAAAACAGGAAGAGAAACTGGTATTTGGTGCAAAAAGATTATAGGGTGGGAAAATAACCAAAATAATAGCTCAGAAATGTCCCAGCAAAAGCTTTGCTTCCAGGACAGCACTGAACTCACAACCAAGCTGGTTTTGACCCATCTGCCTTGCTGCCTCAGCCCTCCTCACAAATGTCCACTTCCTTTCCCATACTCATCTGTACCAGCGCGTAAGAAAGTAATGGGGGAATCTGTTTGAGGACTCCATCTGTAGTCTACATCAGAGATCATTCTCTTTCATAAAATCAGAGGATTTTCACTGTCCTCAGCTGTAGACATTGGCTCCCCAGTGATGCTGCCATGGCCAGCCCCATCAGCATCAAATGAAAAGGGAAAGATATTTTAATTGCATCATACAATGGCTTCACTGACAAGACCTCTCACTGTCAGCTTGCAGTGGAGCAAGCAGTGTCGTGCCAGGGCTCTTGGGAGTCACTCACCACGCTGGCTCCTGGCAGATGGGCCACGTGCTTGGACAGACCTCTCTGTCTCTTCTTCCTCTGTCTCCTCACTGGTTTTCCTCTCTTCCCTTCTGCTCTCTCCTGCATCCCCCTTGCATCTCTGCCACAAGTCCTGCCCTCTCCCAACCATGCCTGCCCTCTGAGGAGAACCTCCTCCTCCTCCAGTGGGACAGAACATCTTTGTTGTACCATTTGATGGCCTCTGTGACCCTGCTCCTACAAACCCTGACTCCCTGCACCAGTCTTGGGGGGGCTTGCATGAGCCGAAGTTGCTTGAGGTAGCTTAGGCTTTCCCATGGCCTTGCCATCCCAGGCTGGGATGTCGCTCTGCTGCCCTTTGCATCTCCCTGCTGGCAGTTTTCACATGGTGTAACTGAACCCTTGTAACATCTAAGCACTCAGTTAGCAAGCCTGAGATGGCTAAATCCACCTGCTGCCAGGGAAAGAGCAGCTTATTTTTACTCAAATGCCTTATTGCTGGCCCTTGGCTGATTCCCATGGGTAATCGCCACATCACCACAGCTCCAGTGCACCAAGTAAAGCTGCCCTGTATGACTTCTGTCAACTTTGCAGCTAGCTGTCTTGATCCTGACCCACGACTGCTCTTGGAAGAGCATTGAGTGTTATGGTTGCTCCGCAAAGATCAAAGACATAAGTGGACTTTTAATCTGTCTCCTTTTGTAAATGGAAGACCTGGAGTGGCACTTGTGTATTTCCAATGTACTTATATTAGCATAATATAAACCAGGAACAGGTCATGGCAGTATAAGTCTATATACTCCAGTGCTGACACAAGAACACTCAGCCAGCATCTCAGATTCTGCAAAAAAGCATCCTGAAAGCAAGACTTTCTATGACTCTTTTTGCAGCAAGCACAGATAGGCTAAATATATAGGCTCAAATTTATCCCACTATAAGTGGGTGCATCCATCAATGATTTTACCAGAACTTATATCTCTTACCAGCAAGGATTAATTTATTCTGGACATACTAGCTATGTGAATGAATAAATGTAAATGAAAATGTCTTGCTTCTTGTCTCCTACAAACTATCACACTGGCTTTTTCAGTCTTATCCTCTGTATCCCATCATTTATTTGTTCTAATGGTATGACACCTGATAAATATACACAAGATTTAGAGGTATGTTTTCATAAAGCAGATTTAACAGCAACAAAAATAGATTCTTCCTTCTAGGAAGTCTCTAAAACAATGACTTTAAACACTACAGTTTCCACAAAGATCCCTCTGGGGCTTGGAGCATTCTGCAGTGCCATTTAACATACCCGTTGTTTCATGAAATAACAAGAAAGGCCAGGAAATTATCTTCTGTATTACTGTAAGTGGATGTATTACTTTTGGGAATTAATGACCATGCCAGAGTTTAGTTCTGATCTTTAAATCCCACTTCAGAGCAGTGTGTAAGCACAAAGCACTGTATTCCTCACTGGCTTTTTTCCCCTAAAATGACGATGTGAGGGGAGGGAGTGGGGTGAATGCTCCCTACGTAGGCTGGAGGCAGTTCCCTCCATCCAGTCCAAGTCTTTTGCTTGCTGAAATGGATTCACTGGGGCTCACACACTCAATTTTGCTTCTGAGTTCTACCTGGGGCACATCAGTCTCCCTTCACCTAATTTCTTCTGAGGCTCACGAGGATTTTCATCAGTACTGGGTTCCTTGGGGCTTTGGTGCAGCAGTCTGAGCTGCTAGGCTGGTTTGACCCAGTGCAGGAGCTAGAAAGCTGGAGGGCAGTGTTGGGCCATAAGTCATCCTGATGCTGCTTGTAGCAAATTCGCTATTACCTGCTGCTAAAGTCTTGTATTCAAAGGGCAATACTTAAAAAAAAAGGCAAACCTATCCCGCCTCAATCCGTGCATCACACAGTTTCTTGTAGACTGCAGAAGACTGTCCAGTTTGCCTCACATAAGCTTCACGATTGGACACCATGAGTACAAGCTGACAGCAGAGCAGTACATCATAAAGGTGCGCATCTGCAGCCTCCCTGTTCCGTATTTCCTGCTTCTTTAGATGGGCCTGGAGCAGGCTACCCCAAGGACACTTTGTGCTTTCTCTTCCAGGAGTCTATTGAAGACCAAACCTTCTGCATGAGCGGCTTTCAGTCTCTTGACATCCCGACTCGCAATGGTCTGCTCTGGATTTTAGGAGACGTCTTTATGTCTGCGTTTTACTGCATTTTTGACCGTGGGAATGACAGAGTGGGATTTGCAAAAGCTGCTCATAGGAAGGATTACGACTGAGTCCTTATAGCGTTTATTCTGCCTTAACCTAAATGTTAATGTAATGATCTTCAACACAAGCGTGAAGAAGGGCTTTAACTGAAACTCTGGACCTAAATGCGGTTGTGCTGTCCCCCACCAGGTTTTAAGGGCTTTGATGTGATACTTGTCCCAAATTACACAGCTTGGTTCAATCTCCGTGTGTTTACATCTCAGAAACTATTTTTCCTAAACAACTGACGGACATCACAGCTCTCAGGGTGAAGTGCAAACAGCTCAGCACTCAGGTCTGCAAAAGAGCAGGAAGGATAAAATAGGCTGAACAGTGCCAGGCTGACAAGATAGCAGTTATGAGCAGGGGAAACTAACCCCAGTCTGGGCTGCTCTGGGTGTTCTTTTTTATTCTTGTGTGCTAGTTTCTCACTGCTTTCCTTTTCCTCATTATTTTCCATGGCTAGTCCTTTGTCCATCCTTGTTTCCTTAGTACCATGGAAATTCTTTTTATACTGGCTTGTTCCAACCAGTTTATATAAAGGGGAATTTGACTGATGTCTGTATGACCACTAATGTCCACTACTGTTACTTGCACACCATTTCCTCCTCCTTACGCCATCTCTCAAATTTGCTTTTTCCCTTGGGTTCATTCTCACTTGTCACTTTCCTATTCCTCTTTTGGGTCTCAGCATTCAATGCCTATTTCTTAGGTCAGATGCTGCTTTTAGTAGCTGACACCTCTGTCCCTTGGCGGTGTGGGCAGCTGGGAGCAGCATCTATATGCGTTACTAAACCCAGACCACAACCCTTGCAATGGGAGGTACAAAGGGGTACCGATGCATCCTCCCCACCTCAGATGAGTTACAGGATCAATGCACCAGCACTTGACATTTACTGTCTCTTGCTCAGCCACTTCTTGTCACCAGTGGCAGCTGCTTCAGCACTGGCAGAGGTGTGAAACAGCCATAGGTAGCTGTGCTCATTTGGCAAAAGAAGATTTACCAAAATTACACCCGTAGGAGTATGTGGATTGTTAGAAGAGATACTGCCCCTGTACATGTGAATAAAACTTAACCAAATAAAATCTGCTTTGGTCTTAGTGCTGTTTCAGTTTCATTTTGTGTTGTCTTACAGGGCAAGGGGGAAGAAGGCATGCAACAGAAATTGAAAATACAGGTTGCTCTGCAGCCTGGAGGGGAGAGATTTGATGTGTTGGGTCATTGGGGCTGCTTGTGTCTCACTAAAGCTGATAAATGCCTGCAGCTCCAGCCCTATGCAGCAGGCACCTCCCATATGCAGGGCTGTGGGGAGCTGGAGACTGGCCGCACTGTGGCATGGCTGGGGCAGGGGCTGGTGGCCCCAGGGGACTTGTTGCTGCTGCCTGTCTGGATGTGCTTAGCGCAGACCCAACACAACATCCATTACTGGCCTTGGCAGCTTTGGGGTCACAGCCCCTTAGATTTGAAGGCTTTAGCTGTAAGACTCAGTAAGTATTATTAAAGCAAGATGGCTTGCTTGTAGGTATCTCTGAAATACTGATCCTGCCTTCCAGGATGAAATACTCCCTCTCTCTGGTGCATGTTTTCACGACCCTTTTTGCAGCCACATTGTGTTACGCATTTGGCATCCAGGCTGTCAACCTGTAGCAGTGGGGACCTGCTGCCACTTGTCTCTCTGCAGGCAAGATGGAGCTGTATGAAGTTACCATGTATTTCAGGCCAGCCTTGCCTTGTTTCGCCTTTGTCCATGTCACTCTTAAAGAGTAGAGTGACCATGAGATAACTTACTGGTCTAGAAAATGTTGTTTGTATAGTTGTAAACCGCAACAAACATCCATAAAGCCTTCTCAGTCAATTAACAGCAGGGGGTTATTTTTGTTTCCCCTACTATGCAGCAGACTTAACACATTGGTACCTTTCAGTTTCTCTAAAATAGGTATATATTCCTCAAACATGAGCTTGCAGTCAGAGTTAGAGATCTGTTATTTATGATGGCGGAATTTAAAGATGATGGGACATGCCCCTGCAGCCAGTCGGCCCCTACACCAACAACTCAGCTCTACAGATCCCAGAACAGAGCATTCACACATCCAAGCCATAGGTGCAAAATTCGGCAGTGCGTGCAGGGACCAGCCCTCTCTTTGCCCTGATATATCTTATCCTGCTCAAGATTAACACTGTCTGATGGGAGCAAGCTGCTGCTCTGACTTGTCTATCCTGGCCCTGTTCTATCCTCAGTCTTCTCCAGCCTTGCCAGATTCTGTAGGTTTGCCTCACTATTCCTGGTAGGCATCAAGCTGACTTGCATGATAAGTCACACCTTTGCAAGAAGTGCTTCTTGACAGTTCAATACAGCCAAGACAATTGTGTTTCTCAAAATGCTTTTATTCATGCAATAATTTGACATATTTTATATAAGCAAACATGAACTGTAAATTGCTAAAATAGTCCATTTACCATGCTGAGGAGAATAGCGTACTGGGAGATGTGAGTAACAGAGCACAGAACCCCAAAATCAGAGCCTGCGGATGTTTGCAAAAGTGGGATAGCAGACTAAATGAGGAGACAAAATTTCTTCTGGGAAGTCATCCCAACACTAGCTTCTTTGCAAGCAACAAACAGAATATTGCAGCTAATCTGGAGCTGGCCCATTATGTGCACAGTGCTATTTGTGTAGTGCAGATTACATTTGTGGGACTTCACAGAGCAGTCATTCCTAATTTAATGTGTCTACATGTCTAACAGGCATCTCTATGGGACTTAACTGAAGCTTTTATCTTCCTAATAGCTACGGTGTGGCTACCCTTACCCTCCACTGAAGAACAAACATAGTTGATGGGCCAGGGAGTGCCGGCAGAGGTAGCAAAATCGTTCCTTATAAGATGCATAATGTCCTTGGTGGAAAGCAGCAGTGTGTGTCCTAGGTAGCGGCTAGGCTGAGAAGAAGGTGATGGAAGATAAGCAGAGCTGGATGATGTGAAGCTGAGACGGCATCTTCAGGTTTAGCACTGCCTCATGAAATATGCTGATGTCTGGGCTGGGGAGGATAAGCACTTTGCTCCAACATCTTAAGCCCTGGTGGAAGCTGAGGTGAGAAGAGAGTAAGGAGATGTAGTGGGAGTGGACCCTCTGTGCAGGTTTGTACTGGGCAGTTTACAGTTATCTGTTTTCTGGCTGAAATCCCCTTACAGAGAGAAGCACAGCTCCTCAAGCTTACGTACTGTGAGGACACAGCTAGACAACAGGGCAGACTTCCTCCATAATGACTGAAAACCCTTCCTGTACCTGCACAGCTGGGAGGAGAATGGCCAAACTCCTCCGAAACCTGTATTGCTCTCCTGAATTTAACAAAGCTCTATAGAGGAGTGTTTCAAGGAGAGCAGCATTTGCTTTAACTTTGTGTCTAGCTGTGTGACACGTGTAAAATGTATCATTTATACCTAAACTTTACTGTTTCTTAAAGTTAAGCTGATTGGTAAGTGAAGTTCCATGACAGTTGCAGATGCAATTAAACTAAGAAAATGTTGAATTGAAAAGTGTTGCTTTGGTTCAAAGAAAAAAATAGAGAATAGGGAAGAAAGAGTGAATGTGGGAACAATGCCTTTTTTTTCTCTGCTAATGTAGGGAAGGGAAAGCTATGTGTTTCCACCACTGCCACAGGCTGATAGAGTCCTCTTCCCTCGGGAGAGTCAGCAGACCGGGGCTCTGATGGCTGAAAAGCTAAAGGATGCTGCCAGAAGCTGCTATTACCTAGTAACAGCCACCCAAAGAATCAGACTGCTAGGTTAAGGTGCTGTTTATTTCAGTATCATTTCACTTTGTCAAGGCTCTCATTCTGTTGGTCAAAACTGACCATAACAATTTGATTTGCCTGAGGACTTGTTGCGGGTGGCAAGGGTGAGGTTGCACCAGAATGCCTTACTGCAAAACTGTGACTGATTCTCAGTACTCAGCTGCTGTCAGACACTGGCACCACCTCATCCCATAGCATGGAGAAGTGCCTCCGTAAGTGCCTGTGAAATCTGTGCTTGGCTTTTCTGCACACCTGAAATTCCCATAATCTGAGTTTAAACACATCTTCCTGGGGCTAAGCAGTGTCCTCTGCTTCCTAAACTGATACATGTGCTTTTGTCTAGTGTCTTTGAAGGATTTGAAAGGGAGACACTGCTCAGAGCATGTCTAATGCACACCAACAGTTCCCAGACTGAAACAAAGCTGGAAGAAGTAGAAGTGAGGAGAGTGGTTGATTTTTTCCCCTCCCAAACCTACCCAGATGGAATAGCAGAGTCGTGTGCTACGTGACAGCCTTACTGGAAGGGCTCCTCACTTAAGCAGCTGGACATAGGAGCAGGAGCAAGCAAATCTGCTCATTCCTTTCCCAGCTTCAGGGGGTCCTGAAGACTCTCAGGAGCCACTGGTGCTACCAGTTACCCTGATAGAAACCATGGTTTGTTGGCTGAAGTGCAACTTTCTGAGCAAGACTGCTGGGTGGACAGGCTATCCACACAGCCCATGCCACTTGTTGGCTGCTGCAGCCCCATCATTCCCTTGTCTCCCCTCCCTCTGTTCCTCCCAGTCACTGAGCTACCTGGACTCTCCCTTGTCTAATGAGACCATCTACTTGGATGCTCGCTCATGGGGGAATGCTGGACTCACGCTCCAGACTGAGTCTGTGTAGATGTGAATGAGAGCTGAAACCAAAGAGCTGCCGCTGCTTTCAGGGCCTGCTTTGAGACTTCTTGTAGAAGTGGCAGCTGAAAGGCCAGGTTGCTACCAGGAGGTTCAGGGAGGCGGCTTAGCCGCCCCTGGAGCAGCAGGAGCCACCTAATGCTGGCTCCGGTCTGAGTTAATGGAGGATGTGTGTGACACATCTGGACAAGTGTGGGAGCAGACAAGGAGGGGAAGGAAGCAGAGACCAATTTTTGCTAGTGTTCCTGGGCCATTTACTCGTCTACCTGGGATATCTGAAGCCTTCCAGCTGAGGATCTCTGCAAGAGTGGAGCCCTAAGCTCAGTTGCTCCTGCAGCTCCATCACCTCTTGAGAGAGAGCCACAGTCCTGGCATCACCAGGGAGGCCACCTGGGAGCAGCATTTTACAATAAACAGCCACCAGGTACAACATATACATGCTCCAAGGAGCAGAGGTCAAGGCTCAGACCCCCATGCCCAGTTCATCAGCAGCTTTGCCTCTTCCATTTTTCTTAATGAAGTTAAACATTTAATCCTTTTATTTCCCACTCTGCAGTGGCACAGCTTCAGTAGGAGAGGGGGGCTTTTGCCCTACACATGTGGTGAGACTGATTTTTCAAGCATTCCTGCAGACAGAGATGGTGAGCTGAATCTCTCCAGGCTGGGTAAGGAATTGAGCCCACACCTCCCCTCCTAGCCATTTGAGTGGAAACCGAAACTATTGGTAGGTCTTACAGAGATGTCACGGACCTTAATCTGAAGGAGCGGCCAAAGGTCGCATCGTTCAGTGTGGATCCAAAGTGGACAGAAGAGCCACCTCTGCTTTCCTGATAAACTCAGTGGGTGAGCCTGCACAGCTCGCTGCCATGTGCGCTAGCTAGCTTGCGTTCACTCCTGAGGCTCCCTACAGTTTTACCTACAGGATCACAGATTTCAACCAAGTGGCTTAAAGCATGTCACCATAGTGCATTCTCTTTAGGTGCCCAATTCCTCGTGTTCAGGATTTGTCTGAGTGTTGTGTTCTGCCCTTCACACTTTCAGCAAACCTGTGTGAGAACCACTTGCGCGAGAGGACAAGAAGTTCAGTCAAACCCAGAGCAAGCACGGTCAAAGTTTTCTTTCACTTTTCTCATTAGAAAATTCCACTATAGCTGTTTCTTTACTATCCAGGTTTTCCCACAAGTGCTGCATCTCAAATGTCTCTGGAGCAGCAGCAGAAGTAAGCTTTTTTCCATCACTGGGGGTCCTTTGTTGTGAAGATGTCTCAGAATCTGTTAAAGTGTCAGCATTTGACGTTGTATTTTGACTATGGAAGCTCGGTAAACTCCATCGCTGAATGTTTCTCTCCTGATCTGTTATGAAACCGGCTAAATTACTAACGTAGGGTTCATGTTTGGGCTTCCCTAT